GAATTATCTAATCTTAACAGAACAGGTTCTCTTTAATTTCACTTACCAGTATCAACTAAGAAGACTCCATAGTTGTTATGTAAGTCTGAGCTGTCTGGACAATTCTTTATTCCAGCCTGGTATATTTCCTCAGCTTCCTTAAATCTCTCCTTTAAAAGGGAATAAGGAAAAGTAAATGAGAAAGTTTTAACAATTAACAGTAAACTGAAGAGTAGAAATGGGAAAACCAGAAAATAATTTATTGAGCATCTACTATGCAATAGGCACCAAGATCAAACACTAGGTACTCTGTCTGAATTAAAGTCAGTGTTAACTGCACACATACCTACAATTCCTTTCTGCCTTTAGTTCCTTTAAGACAAACAGCTGATGTTTATTAAGAAGTGATATCTGGAAGGATTTGCCCTATAGTTGGAAAAAAGCTCAAAATGGTTGTCTGAATGATGCTCTTCACGCAGTAATTCTCTGGATGAAAATGGGTGGTCCATCTATATAGGAATATCTTCCCAAGTGATGATCTGACTGGGAGACACAGAGGCCTGGGATATTTGTCTTACAGCTACATTTGTAGAACTAGCATTCTTTTTTACCTACACTGTGTGGTTTAGTTGGGGAGGTTTTGGGGGGAGGGGACAAGGCTGATGCAGATTATGAGAGAGCTTTGCCTTATCCTTTCTTACTTGAAATATTTATATAGCCCACCAAACTGCCACTTCCTGCATCCAACCTGTGCTTTCAATCTCTGAGTTCTTCCATCCAACAGGAATATACGTCCCCTCAAAGGCACACCTCCAACTCCTAGCTCTGTAGTAAGGCCCAGATCAACTGCCATAACTTCAATGGATCATTTTCTAATTGCCCTGCTCTTCTGCTCCTCTAAAGATTCACATTAACACACTTTAATAGATCTGAATTAGCTTTTAGGCACATTTTTCATAACCATCTGAGACTGTCATGTCACATACACTTTATAATATAGAAAGTAACACCTAATTAATGAATCAAAGCTACCCAGGTTCTAACAATTACTCACAAGTAAATTTTATAGTTTCCTAGGACTGCTGTGAAGGCCAGGTGAATGGAAATTATTTGGCATAAAACACATCGCAACTTTTTCTTTAATATGCTCAGAGTGTGGACATTGTCCATCATTTTATCATAAGTTACTAGGGTTAAGCATTCAACCAGACAAATGAAAAGGGGATTCGCAGCATCAGTTTTCCCAGACCTGACACCTGAAGCTTGTGAATAAAAATGTTCTGAGTGCTCAGCAATAAGCCAGGAAGCCTACATCTGATCTCACCCAGAAAGGTCCAGTAGGTTTTACTCTCTGTAGAATGACCAATGCCATCTCTTTCAATTCACATGTTAAATATTTTGGGAACAACATGTGGTTTGAATTTGGCAAATTTCACTTATTTGAATGATAAATCCATAGTCCAGCAAAAATGGAGATCCATGTTTCCAAAAATATGCATTTTCTGATTGCCAAATTCAACAAATTGTCAAACTCAAGATAAAGATAAATGAATATCTCAAAATATCTTTTTTCAATCTACTGAAGAAAAGCTTTATGAAGATACCATCGACTGGAAGTCTAGCAAATTTGTGAGTGCACGTGTGTGTGTTGTTAAATGGAGATAGACAGAACAATTATATCAAACTCTAACCAAAAAATAGTTCGGGAGGACCACTGGATCCTTATGAACAGTGTACTAAGAGGTGAGTAAAGATGCTCTGAGCTCAGGTGAGTTGGTACTGCGGCCACATCAGGCGTCAGGACCCTGTCCAAGGGGCATTTCAGCCAACAGTTTCAAGTTCCTTTCCCATAAAACTTCTTTAAGTAGCTCCCTGGAGAAATAATTAACTAACTCGGATTTTTTTCTTTTAATTTTCCTTAATCAACTTTCTGATACAGAAATCAATAAACAATATCGTAGAGGCAACCAGAGAAAGGACACCCTGGCTAATTCCAAACTGGGTTATCAGTTCCTGAAAATCTTGTTTCCAGTGTTACCATCTGCCCAGTCTTAGTGTTTGACATGATCTATATTTTTATAGGATCAAGTTTTCTACTTTACATGGCACTTTTAAAACACACTAACATAGTCATGGTAAAATAAAATAAAAAAAAACAATTCTAAAAAATACAATGAATGAGATTTTCAGCACTGGAAATAAAAGAATATTTGAGCTGGAAAGAACATTAATAGATACTAATCAACCACCATTTTTAACAAATGAAGAAACTTGAGTACCAACTGGTTACGAGACTTGCACAAGATCTCATAACTACAAGGGGACAGAGAAGAACCTAGGTTTTCAGTGGACATATAGGGAACTGGTAAGCCCTGAATAAAAGCAGTATTTCTGGAAATAAACAAGGGTGTGTCTGGCATCAAAAGAAACAATTACACTTTTGGATATCCACCCATTCATCTATCCATCCCCTTAACAAATATTTTGTGAGCATTATCCATGTGCCAAGTATATAGTTGAGACAGGAGAGTGAATGAGACAGACACATCCCGCCCTCACAGACAATTGAGTAGGATTCAGACAAAAAGGAGACATTGCAATGTATGGTGACAGTGTCATGGGAGGAGAAGCACAAGGGACTTGGGAGGCAATCAGAAGTGACACCCAGTCTTAGAGTTGGATAGACATTCTACACCTATCAAATGTTCAAGGATGCTGATGACCACCGACTCCAGTGGCTGTATAACATACAGATGTGCTTGAAAAAACCCGAGGGTACCTGAGATCTTAAAAACATCCTCATAGCTGAACTATGGAAGAGTTGAAAGGTGTTTTTCCTGAAAAGGAGTAAACTTGATATCTTCACATTCCAACTTCCTGAAGTCAAATACAATAGTTAACTATTTTCAAATGCAACTACTGTTTTATCTGATTTACTTTTACTTCTCTTTTTCTATTTTCTTGCTGCTCCAAAATAGACAAAGAGATCACCTTTTCATCTAAACCTCTTACTTTTGGCTTTACGAGCTGAGTTTCCATTAGAAATTCAATTTCCAAAGTCCAAAGAAGTAATGTGATTTAAAAGACCATGCGTATCAGTAGCAAGTAATCACATCCCTGTACCCTTGGTCATCCCCAAGGGCTGTCTCAACATTCTGGCTCTATGAAAAATGTCTTCAATATCTGTCTCTCTTTTCCTTTCACTTGACTGTAAATTTCAAGGAATGATTAACTTCATTTATTAAAAAGTGAAAGAAAACCACCACTGCAGGAGAAAAATACCTTCTAGGTTTAGTTAAAATAAATCCCACCTTCTCAGGAAGGGCACTGCATTTATCTTAAACAGGAGTAGTAGTTAATCCTCGAAGCTCAATTTCACGCATACCCTTTCATTTACCTCTTCGGGACAGATGTCTTGACCTAAGCTTGACTATTCCTAGTCTCTACTGATTTTTGAGATCCAGGGAAAATGGACATAGCTATTTAATTAAAAATGCTTGGGACCCAGAGGATGGTTCTGACAAAAAATATTTTCTGCTGTACATCAGTCTTCAACCAGCCACCGCCTCAGCATGAAAACAGCCTTTGAGGGCAGTAGTTAAAAATGGGCAGCACGCAACCACGGGCTCCTTTCCAAGGCTCAAATGCATTTTCAGTGGGGCTAAACTAAAAATGGGCCTTAGGGGAAAGATAAAACATAGTCAGCATCTCCACTTTTTACATGCTGTAATTACCCAACCTGGTATGCTTTTTTACCTCAAGGAAGAGAAAGTAAAAAGTAGATCTTCTGAAAAATGGACCTTGACTGTAAGTTACTCTCTAGGACCAACTGATACGTTTAGAAAAATTTCTAATTGTTCAAGTTGCAGCAACCAGGAGGACAAACGNTTTTTTTTTCACCCTGTCCCTCAACCCCCTCCTATCTATCACCCCCAAAAATCTAGCCACCATCTGACACCATACATAGTTATTACAATATTTGTTTAGATTTATTTTGAAATGACTTCTTGATACTAAATGTCTAGGTCATACAAAGTGAACATAAATGATGCTAATTTCACTTTTAAAGAACTATGTGTTTGGTATTCAAATAATTCAAAGAGGAAATTAGTAATAGTTTCTCAATCTTTTAAGAGAGAAGGAAAACAGAAAGAGAAAAAAAACAAAGGAAAAACTCAGCTCAATTGGAAGTGAATTATTCTCTTACCTTGATGTGTTCGATTCCACCCATATTCATCCAGGCCTGTGCTTGATCTGGGTTTAGTTCCACGGCTGCTTTATAACTCTAAATAAATAAGAAATATCTTCAGGTCAGGAAACAAGAACCCATCTTTAACACTACAGAATTGTGGAAACCATTTTCTTCATATGTGAAAATTTAAATGGTTAAGAAAATGAACACCACTTCTAGTCCACAGGTGTTCCCGTTTATTTCTATTATTTTTTAAAGTTGATGATTTTAAAGTGGAGGAAACTGAAATGTGTCATTTTCTTGCAGAGCTAACGTTTAGACTCAAAGAGACTGTAAATGCCTGCAGGGAATCTGGGTAATTTCTATTATAGTGCATCATTTCTCACTGGCCTTGATCTGCAAGAAAATGGTGCTTTTTGGCCATTTTCACTATAAATAGAGTTTGTAAGGAAAAAATTTTTATAATCACAGAATCTTAGAGTAGTTTCCTAAATAGCCTAAGCCTGCTGCAGTAGCCTTTCCACATTATCACTGAGCTAGTTATTTAGCCTATGTTTAAACTCGTGTAGTGACAAGATGCTCATTGCTTGTTTAAAGACATCTATCTGACTAGAGGATAGTTTTAATTATTAGAAAGCTTTTCTTTTTCTTCTGCCATAGGAAAGGTCTTCAGTGTTTGAAGAGAATTACTAACCCTCAAATACTTTTTTTTTTTTTTGCCGGAATAACATGCATTCCGTTAAATGTAATATCTGTGAGGTATATTTTAAATATTTTGCATGCTGTTTTGCATCAAAGGCAAGCTCACCACTGAGTCTTGATTTTAAGAATGGTCACCTTAAATAAAACTAAAAGCTACCGGTGTTGCCTTTACAAAGTGTTCAGTTATATACAAAGTTAAGTATACGTATGTGTGTGTGTAGTTTAATGCTCCTTACTATTTTCACCAGCAAGAATTCAATGGAACAGATCCATAAA